GAGAGAGAGAGAGAGAGAGAGAGAGAGAGAGAGAGAGAGAGAGAGAGAGAGAGAGAGAGAGAGAGAGAGAGAGAGAGAGAGAGAGAGAGAGTTAGACCACAGATATCTCATTGGTGTTTTCCATGTGCGGGCGCAGCTGCACTGGCATTACTTGTTGTTTTGTTTACAAATTACACCTACTCTTTCTGTTCAGGTTCTTCATTGTTTTAATAATTCCTGGCGTGCTTGGTTGCATTTGGATTTTGTTTCTTCTTTCCCATATGAATTTTATGTGACAGCTTGGTATGCATTGGCAAGGTCACTTTGTACATCTGCTTTGTGTGGGGCTCAGCAGTGGTGCTGCTATTCACCTGTGGCTGGTGGAAAAACATTCATATTATTGTTTCGTTTTGCTGGCAGTTGGCGCAAACCTTTTTTGGTCGGTGCTTTTGGTTTGGAAAAATGCAGTGGTTCGATAACTTTGCTTCAGGAGCAGTGGTGTGTCGAAGGTCGCTTGGTGGTTGAGGGCGGACATTTGGCTGTTGCTCAAGACCCCTGAGTGCTCTGGCAAACTACTAAAACTATGGACCCTGCCAGTGAGCACTCCGTTTCCTATTGCATGCTCCATTTTTTCGTGGGGCCTCACACGGTTAACATGACACGTGTTGGGTTTTGTTACAGGTAGCAGCAGCCCATATGTGCTACATGGTGGCAGATGCCCAGTTGGAGGCATATTCTTCAACAGCAAGGGTTTGTCTGATTGGAGCAGATCATTGGAAGGGCACTCGAAGCTTTGTCACTCCAGAGGCTATTCAGGTACGCAGCAAGGGTCTCCATGTTCGTGTTCCAGCTCCATGTGGATCGCCCAGTTGGAGGCATTATTTGGACTTCGTGGCAATTTCTGTTCATGCAGAAATGTCACAGTGCCCTTCTCCAAAGCGTCAATTCGAGATATGTGGTAGTTTGTCGAGTCCACAATACGTTATGAGAAAGGCCAAGCCATATTTGGTTGCGTGCATGATTTTGGTGATTGGAGGACTGTGTGAAAGGCACATTGACAGGAGCTGTTTTGTTGGCCCCTTAATTCTAGTCAGAATTGATGTTGTTGTTATTGGTGTTGGATACCAAAAATGTGAGGACAGGAACTTTGCATGAATTATGCAAGCTTGTATGAGTCGTCTATAAGTATTTGTCAAAATCACAAATTCGGGGACGGGACAGCTGTTAGTGCTTAACAATTAGGGAGGGAATTAGCAAGGCTGGGGTAATTATTGTCAGGCTTTAGTCTTTTGTCACTAACCTGTGGTTTGATCGGTATGTGAGATTGATGGCTTGCCGCACAGTGGTCGAATGGCAAAAACTGGTAGGGATTTCTCAGCTATGCACCTCATATTTGAAATTGAATGTTATAAGCAGTGTTTGGGCTGAAAGAGAGGATTTTTTTGCGGGTGAAGATGAGCAGCAGCACCGTGTGGGAGAAGAAGCTGTTGGATGACCAGGATGGCAAGGAGGAGGAGGGGAGAAAGCAGGGAGTGAAAATGCGGTACACGACCAACCTATGTGTGGAATACGGTCGGAAAATATTTGAAACTTGAAACAGGGTAGGGAAGGACATTCAAACTTTTTCCAATTTCACGAGTTTTCTGCCTATCAACACAGTTTACCCTCATATTGAATTCAATTCTATTATACGTGCTGGGGTTGGTTGTGATTTTGGTCTGTCTCTGTGTATTTGTGGTGGAAAACCTCTATCTGTTGTGTGCAGCGCACAGAGATTTATGAATATGCCAAGGTTCTCGGAAATCCCCAGTGTGTCCTGCTGCCTTTCCAGCCATACAAGATTGTGTACGCGGCAATGCTCGCTGAGGCAGGAAGAACGCATGAAGCACAGAAGTGAGAACCCTCTCGGTGACTTCTTCTCTTTTCTTTCTTCTTTTTTTTCTCTTCTTTATGCCACGGCCTTGAGCCCTCTCTTTTCATTTTTAAAGAGCTACGGCCTTGAGACATCATTGAGCCCTCTCTTTTCATTTTTAAAGAGCTACGGTCTTGAGACATCATCAAGCAACTGACGGGTCCTAGGTAATTCAGAATTAGTATTTACTCCGTCAGCACTCAGGTCTTTATTTCAACAGTTCAGGGGTGTACCAACTCAGCTAGGCCACTTGGTGGTGACTTGTTCTCGCATTCCTTCTCGATTGCACCTTTTTATGGTATTTGGGATGCAGTCCCAAGGGATTCAAGGTTGGGCCGCTCTTGGGACTAGAGCTTGGAATGCAGTCACCACCACATTCACTCCTTTGCCCCTGTGAGGTGTGATGTTTGATTTGTACTGTGGTTCCATCCCTTCGCATTCAGATTCTCTGTTTGATGGAATAACCTCACTCGAGAATGACCAAGCGCTTACCATCGCAGAAGGTGGCTAACTCCACGTATGAAAGGGAATTGAATGGCTTAGTAGAAGCTCTATTTCCTGGAAGCATTTTACTTGCTCGGCAAATATTTCACGGTCTAGTCGGAGCTCTCGACTTTGAAGTGGATTAAAACCCAACCCCGGTTGTGCGACAAGTTAGTACGTTGGTCTGTTTGACTTTGAACTGAAAACCATAAAAGGCGAGTCTAATGTTGTTGCTGATAAGTTGTCTAGACGATCTGATTTCCTTGACATCGGGACCTGAACTCGAGGACAAGATTCCCAGTAGGTATGTTGGGGATCCTATCTGGAGTTCAAACCCTACAGAAAGAACCTGAACTCTTTCCTGACTTCCGATTTGAGTGATGGCAATGTGTTTTTATTGACAAAACTGAAGAAAAATTATGCATTCCTCGCAAATGGAAGGGATTCCACTATGCAGACCCCAAATTTGAAACTGTGTCAAAATTCCCAGTCCGAGAGAGGCCAGGTTTGCCGGTTTCAAAAAGGTTACGTCGGGTACCCTAGAGGTCCAGCCCAACAGGTACCCTGTCAACAGTCACATCCAGGAGGCAAACTGAGCAAATGAATTCTCTATGCCAACAATTTTGCAAATGTATGTTAGGCCTGACCAGACTGATTGGGATGAGAACTTACCTAAGATTGCAGGTGCATATAATAAGGGTGTACAGACTGTGATGGGTAGAACACCTACTGCAGTGCATGAAGGATGGAACTCGAGGGGCCCTCTTGATGCCCCGAGTAGGGAGCAAGTCCCACGGCTAACCCCAGGTACGATAGAATTTGCATTTTATATGAATAAGGTATTCCCAAGGTCAAAGAGAAAATATGGAAGTCCAAACCCAAATGATTGAGCAAGCGGACAAACATTGTAGACCAGCTCAGTTCAAAGAAAGTGATTTGGTGTGGGTGAAGTCTCTACAGGTGGCAGAGGACGACCACAAAACCAGTTTAAGGTAAAGTTCAAAAACCGACCTGAAACAAAATCAAGATAGTTTAGTAAGAAAGAAATCCTATCTACTGCACCCGGTATTATAGCAGCTTATGAACCTGGGTTAAAGGAAAGCTGTGCCTTGAAAAGAAAGTTTCTGTGATGGAATTCGAAATAGGGCCAGATGGAGTGCAATAACTCAGTGCAGAATCTGCATTTATGCGAGCAAGGGAACGTAACTTTTGGTGAAATGCCCGAAACAGGGGTCAAAAGTCACGCCCTAAGTCTGAGAAAAGCCTGGGCAAAGGCCTAAGGCCAAGGAGTACCCAGTGCTGCACCAAAAACAGGGTACTGAGGCGGTACGAGGAGCAATTGACTATGGGAAAGTCGACGGTCAACCGCAGCACGGGATTCCAGTCCCGAAGCTCAAAGTCAACCTGCTGATCAGCCATGGTAGATCAGATGGGCATCATTGGTTGTCTGCAGGTATCCAGAAGAATCTGGTCCAGTTGGGACATGTGGGAAATCTGAACTGCGCAGCATCCAGGCCATTGGGGTCTGATTGATCTGGCCGGTCGACCCCAGGAGACTAGAGGCTGGTCAACGTGAGCCAACACTATAAAGTTCTCCCAGCCCCTGCTTGGAGGGCATTCTGCCTTGTCCTGGCTTGATGCTGGTGTGTAACGCGAGGCCGCTGGAGCCAGCCTTGAGGGAGATCATGCTGTCGCGGCCATAGCCGCATAGATTTAGACATTGATAGGAGTGGGGGCGGGGGGAGGAGGATCTGGACTGTGAGATTGGTGTGTGTGATTAGGGGAAGCTTACCTGGACTTACCTATGACGTTGTGTGTGATATGCTGCTCGTCTCCAAGAAGGTGAGGAAGATTTGCACCATCCTCCCTGTTTGATGCTGACGTGGATGGAGGATGGGGGCACTGTTGTGACCTGCTCGTTGTAAATGTCAGAGATTGTCAGAGGAGAACTGAACTGCTGAGGTGGCGAGAGAGGGAGATGCCCGAGGAGGAAGTGGGCCTGAGGAGGGATTATTGCTTTATTGATTCTGGTGGAAACTCTCCTCCTCTCTGTCTCTTCTGGAGACATCATTGCTGCGCTGAGTCAGACTTGCATCACGACATTCATGAGCTTCTCATCTGTCTGGATACATTCAGAAACTACGTTAGTTATCTAACCCAGCCATTATGAATTGTAACAAAAAATGGGTTTCTTGAACTTTCCTAGAACTTCAACAAAGCCTGCAAAGGGAAGATGATCACGAAATAAAACAATCTCACATAGCTTTCTAGCTGCAAATTTATGTTGCAATGAAACCTAAGGCATAGCCAGTCTAAAATAATCATTCATATGACTGACGTGGTAGGAATGCTAAATTTGCTAAGTGCCTGACATGGGTCCTCTGGCAATGCTGGAAACATTTATCGAATGGTTTTGTTGTGCTGGCGTTACATACTACGAAGACAACCTTCCGATATGGTCAAAGTCAAGGTCTGCTCAAGGGGAATGCAGATTCACACAAGGAAGGATATCATGTGTCAGTATGCTGCATTTGTGAGAATCATGTGTTGTAAGTAGGAATAGGGTTACTAGATGCTAAATTTGTGAAGTGCCTGACATGGGTTCTCTGGCAATGCAGGAAACATTTATCGAATGGTTTTGTTGTGGTAGTGGCTGACTGATGTTGTGGTGATCTACGGCTGAAAGCTCATGTTGGCATTACATATTACAAAGACAACCTTCCGATATGGTCAAAGTCAAGGTCTGGTCGAGGGGGATGCAGATTCACACAAGGAAGGATGTCACCTGTCAGTATGCTGCATTGTGAAAATCATGTGTTGTTAGTTGGCCAAGTTCCAGGGCCGCAGGAACTTGGGAGAAATAGTCGGGAGTCCCAAGCAACAATGCCTTCGGTACTGCTGGAAAAGCATATAAGGGGAGCAGAAGTCAAAAGCTCAGCCCAGACAAGTTACGGCTTGCCATGGCAGAATTTGTCTCGTCAGTGAGCTATGCTTGCTGGCACAGCACATGCAAGTCCATGCTGCGCAAGGCTGTGTACAGTGGCCTTTCCGTTTGTCCCTTGTTCTTTTTTATTTATTTATTAATTTGTCACTTTGTCTCAGTTTCCCGTCGTCATTGATTTTGAGTTCACCCCTCCCCTAACTCATTCTGCAGACATCTTGTGGATGCGTCTGCCATTGTTGAGCGGTCTTGTGTGCTGTTATTGTAATATTGGCTGCATGACTTTCTTCTTCAGCGATTCTCATGCCCGTTTGCATTGAGCTGTGGTTCTCATATAATGTTGGGGATGTTGCATTCCGCATTGTGCAATTGTTCTGGTTTTGATTATGGTGGAATGTTTAACACAGATATTGCCAGGGAGTATTGAAGCTTCTGAAGAACTCAGGCAGGTCTCCTGAGGTTGAGGCCTGCAAGGAGTCTGCAATAGCTCTTTCAGACCGACTGATGAACCATAGTAAGGTTAGTACAGTACCAGTTTCCAGCTTCAGCATGGGAGCCTGCCATACTGAGGCTCATTACTTGTGGGTGCTGCATAACATGTCAAAAGCTAGGATAGATGCCGGTCGTCCTGTTGGATGGTTGTTTTATGGTGGCAGCCTTTGGTCGTTTTGTATTTTGATGTGTCCGATGATGTTCCAGTTGTCAGTTTTCATGCAGTGAACACATTTATTGGGCTTCGAGTCACAACACGTAACACCATCAGAGAAAAACAGTACTAGTGAAGGGACATCTGACGGTGTTAAGTTCTTGAGCAGAGAAGTTATGTCCGGCTGCAACAGTGGTGGCAGTGGCGTCAGCACATGTGTTGTGAAGCTGTGTGCACCTTACGAAAAGGGGAATCAGAAGACCGCTCAATGAGCTATGTTTGCAATCTCGTTGAACAAATGGTTTTCAGCGTGACACTGTTCACATGTGGTCCGCCCAGTGAAAAAAAAAAGGTTGCATGTTGATCCATTTTTTTCCCTTCGGGCATGCATGAAAGGGTGACTGTGTGGGTGAGGAGGAGGTGCAGTGGTATTCAAAATTTCAAATACCCTAATTTATTGTTCTATCTTCACTTTGGGAGTCGAAGCAGGTGCAAGGTTTTGGTGGTGCAGTCGACTCTCCGGTCACAGCATACATTGATTTCGTTAGTTAAAGTAGGGTTCATCATTTTTTGGTTCTGGTTCGTTATTATCATCTATAAGCTTTGTTTGATATATCTTGCAGTAGTTATCTGAACCTTCCCACTCAAATTCAGAGAGTGGCCAGCTCTCTTTTGAATGTGCATGAGTCTAGCGTTGAATGTTACCACCGCTTTGCGGCATATTTCTACAGTGATAAATAAGATTGGATGCCTCACTTCTGTTCACAGTGATATGAGGTGGATATATGAAGAAATTTCGGGTAGTGAAGAGATGCTACCTTTTATTGCCTGTTTTCAGTTGTATAGCCGTGGGCGTAGTGGGGCTGGATTTGCTTGTGGTCATTTATTGGCAGTCTTTTTGGAAGAGGTCTGGGTCAATACGCACTCCTATGGGTTGAAAATTGAAATCCAGCTCTGCTGTGGTCAGTGGAGAACAGAGACCATGGAACATCTCCGGCGTTATCCAGGGGTTACAGAATGGAGGTTGTCTGAGTTATTTGTTGCATGGTTTCCTGTGCTTGTCGGGGAGTAGTTTGCGCCAGGCAAGTATTTCTTTTGTTGTGTGGTTTCCTGTGATTTGGTAACTGCATCGATTTTTCATGCGTCTTTGGCAGAAGTGACAGGTCTGAGCAGGAATTTCATACTGCTAGGGTGAGAACGGCTGTGTGCAGTGGAGAGCAATCTTGTTAGTCAGAAGCAACAAGACCACATTTGTTGTCCACTGAGGCAGTGTGTTAGAGATACTCTGCATTGCTCTCAGAACATAAGGGAGCTGCAAATTTTGTCTGTTGTGACTGTTGTCTATTATATACTGGGAATCATGGTTACATCCCTGCCGACCGCCGACCTCGACCGCCGACCGTATTGCAGCCGACCAGTAGTGCTGACCGGTCGGCGGTCTGCCGACCAGTCAGAAAACAACCATTCACTATTTTTTTTTCAGATCTGAGTTGGAAGCAGTACTGTGCTTGCTGAGTACAGCCCAAATCCGCTGAGAAATTTTTGGGGATGGGGGGGTTGGTGGAGGGGCGTATAGGGGGATATAGGGGGTATAGGGGCTGTCTCTTATACACATCTAGATGTGTATAAGAGACAGGTATAGGGGTGGTATGGGGGGTATGGGGGGGGGGTATGAGTGTGTTGGAGGGCGGTTTGTGGGTATTTGGGGTTGGGAGGGGTGTATAGGGGGATACAGGGGGTATAGGGGTGGTATAGGGGTTACTGGGGGGGGGTATGAGGGTGTTGGACGGCGGTTTGTGGGTATTAGGGGGTGTATGGGGGTATTTGGGGTTGGGATGGGGGGGTTCGAGGAGTTCTGGACCCAAGAAACAATTTTTTTTTTTTTTTTTTTTTTTGTGGTGTGCCGACGACCCCCGACCAGTAGGTGCCGACCAGCCGACCAGTCAAGGGTCACCGACAGTCGGGGTGTGCAAAACTGGTGGGAATCATGCTGTGGGTCCAGGATAAACTGCCTGTCTCCTCCTGGCAGGTCTCAGCAGGGTTGTACCCTGCCATCCAGGAGAAAATGCCCGTCTCCGCCTGGCAGGTCTCAGCACAGTTGTACCCTGCCTCAACGAGCTGCGTTCTTGTTGTTTCTTGTCATTTTCGTTTTCAAGATGTAATAAAGAAACACATCTCATCATCGTCAAATTGACTATGGTTTTGTATCGGTCATTCCACAGGGAGGAGGCAGCAACATCCAAAAGGGGATAATAGGAGGGTTCGTTAAGTTTATTGATGGCAAGCTTCAGAAGTTTGTAGGTGGACCGCCCACAGCTGTACCAAGTGTCAACGTCGGTGGAAACAACGAGATTGGCGTGATGCGTGCAAATGGTGGGAGCATGCGTGATTTGAGGATAGGGTCGTCACCTTCTGTGCATGATCCCGTCTCTGCTATGCCAAAGTCCTCTGATAGGATGCCACCAAGGAGTGTATCAGAACCTGATATTGCCAGGGCTAGCAGACCAAAGAGTATGGATGGAGGATCAGCAGGAAGTGAGTCTCCGCTCAGCAGACCAGCAGGCATTATGTTCAAGTCTTTATCTGGTGTGTTCAGATTCCTTGTCCCACGGATCAAGAAGGAGGTGAGTTACACGATGCTAGAACAACGTGTTTGTGCATGCCATCGAACTTTGTGGATGATAATGATCTCCACAACCTGTAACATTTGATTTATGATCGATTGTACTCTGCACTTCCTGTGATAATCCTGACCTTTCTTGGCCCTTTGGCTAAGATCAAGTGTGGTAGCTGCTTTGGTACAAATTTTATCTTTTACTTTTGCCGAGGTGTTCGTTAGTGTCCATGGACCCTGTACACCCGAAATCAGCTGAAAAAACGAAGTGCCACTTTCGACTGCCTGCGGACTGCTGTTTGATTGTCTGTTGTCACTCCGAACTTCCGAAGTCAATGGTCAGCAAGTGAGTCTCCGTTGGTCATCCTCCTGTCGGTCAGTTGTCGTCGTTATAGCGGTGGTCCATCGGGCCGCAGTGATGGGACTTAATTTTTCTGGGCTATGGAAGGGTCAAAAGGGCGGAGCTTGCGTGCTCAACCCTTCGAGGTAAAGAAAGAAAGAAAGAAAGAAAGAAAGAAAGAAAGAAGAAAGAAAATATCCTGACCTCCTTGTGAACAAGATCAGGCCTAGCTCAGTTGGTATATCAACTATTGAAACACAGACCCGAGTTCGAACTCCCATGGAATCAGATGTGTAAAAGTACCTCTGAATTTATGTTGCATACTCGTGAATACAGACACAAGTATGGCGCAGATCCCCAGAACCGACCAGATAATACAGAGCAAATACAATTACAGTGGAGGACATGATACACATGGATTGACTCAAACCTGACTCAGACTGCAACGAATCCCTCACAAACATGCATCGGTGGTGTGAAAGCCCTGGCCTTGGACATGGAATAAGGGGCCAGGGTCTCATCCTATACACAGATGAATGGAGGGGAGGAGAGACAAAGGGAGAAGGAGAGGGAAGACGACGTCAACTCAATGTCTCCAAGAATAGTATCTCGAAATGTCGTAAGTAGCGAAAATCCGAAATGTCGCGAACACAGAGTCTCACAGTATCGCAGATATCGATCTACCAATGCCAAAATACATCTCCATTGGTAGACAAAGTCAGATACCAATAGTAGTCCTCAACTGAAAGTCTTAATGTTGTTATCTCTGATATCATCAGAACTCGTAACCATCCTGCATACTCATAGTAGTCCAGGAGTAAAACCGAAGGAGTATACTTGGAGGGCAGGAGGAGGAGGGCGGAGGAGGAGAGAAGGAAGAGGGAAGAAAGGCGAAGCCTTTCTCCCTGATACCTGAGTGACTGCGCTGTCTCTGCCGATGTCCGCTGAGTCCGAGCCTGGTGATGCAGCTATGGCGCTGCAGTGCTGGGCGCTGGGCTGCGGGCTGAGCCAGAGCGCTGGCGCTGCTCGCTGCTGCACTAATCCTCCTCCGCTGCTGCGCTAATCCTCCTCACTGCTGCGCTAATCCTCCTCCGCTGCTGCACTAATCCTCCTCGCTGCTGCGGTTATCCTCCTTGCTGCTCCGCTATTCTAACACCGAATAATCCTCCTCCGCTGCTGTGCTAATCCTCCTCGCTGCTGCGCTAATCCTCCTTGCTGCTCCGCTATTCTAACGCCGAAATGCTGTGCTAGACTAACCTGCCTACTGAGGCTGTACCCGGCTGATATAGCGCTGGGCCGGCCTCCAGGCTGCTGGTACCTTCGGGTCTGGACCGTTGGTCAGCCCAACGGTTCAGATCCGATCCGAAATCTGAAAAGTGGCGCCTAAACTTGGCTGCCTTCAAAACTCCGCTGCCGGTAGGTCCTAGTGTTGGACTGGCACCGGCCTGGCCCTTGTGACCGTTGGCCTACCTGGCCTCTGGTCCGACCTACAGGTCTGAACCGACGTGAACCCTGACCCTAGGCCTAAACTAAACCTAACTTCGGAACCGGGCCCTAACTGGGGCCCCTGTGGTGTCAGAATGCCACAATTTACCTGGGTCTGTTCAGTCCAAAGATGATATCTCCAGGGTGTTCAATGATATTGCAAGGTCTTTACCATACTAGCAGCACGTCCTGTCCGAGGGATTGCTGCATATGCGGCGCAGAGGGCACGTGCATACACACGCGCGCATCACCCAAAAATAAAAAAAAATAAAAAATTGAAAGGACAGGGCGGGGTGGCCAAACATGACCCTTGCTTTCGAAAATCAAACTGCAAGAGTGAAAAAAGTTGGGGCCGCCCCATACCCCAACACTGTGAGCACATGTGTGTGCATGTGGGTGTGCGTGTCCAAATTGTGTCCAGTCTCATTTCGAAAGGGCCTCTATGAATTAGCAAGGACCCCTTGTGGAGCATGGATGGACATTAGACTTCCAGTTTCTGCGTGGGCCAAGAATATATAGTCTGGATTCGAATTCAGGTCTGTGCATCACAGTTATAGGTCAGTAATTCTCTGTTTTCTGGGTTTTCTCTTGTTTCCGTTTTTCTCTGCGTAGCACGGCGAACGTATTCACGCCCCTTCACGTTCGCGCGAACAGCTCGCGAACATGTTCGGGGGAACATTTTTTTTTCCGTAAAAAAAATAAAAAAATATTTTTTTGATTTTTGATTTTCAACTCATGATTGGCTACGAATTTGAACATGATTCCAAGGCTTTTTTTAAATATTTTTTATGTTCGCGTTTGCAGGGTTTTGGGTGTTTGTTCACGTTCGGGCGAACATGTTTGCATTTGCCTCCGAATGCGAACACGGTGCTATGTAGGTAACAGACAAAACATATGGGAGCATATTATTCCACGTTCTAGCAGAAGATTCATTCTAATTCTAAAAAATTGCAGTTGCCATAACAGCCTCTACTCACCACATGCACGAAAGACAAAACATAGGGTGGGGTATTATTCCACGTTCTAGCAGAAGATTCATTCTAATTCTGCACATTTGCTGAGTACTGCAGCCAAGCCCTGAGAGTGACGTGCAGAGACCAACAGGGCCTAGCGAAGTGAGGAACCCATAACTGCTGAAACACAGACCTGAATACGAGTATGTATTTCAGACAGCTCGTACTCCACTTCGTATTCACTGCCTGCTTGGATTTTGGTGGAGGGTCCTTGCTAAATTGCTGGGAGGACCCTTCAGATTACCTGCATGGGCCCTCTGATACGTGTGAAGCGGATCCTAAGCGGATCCTTTGTTCTCTCTCTCTCTCTCTCTCTCTCTCTCTCTCTCTCTCTCTTTTCTCTCTCTGTGTGTGTGTGTGTGTGTGTGTGTGTGTATCCCTAAAAAAAAAAAAAAATCCAGCGCATCACCAATCTGTGCACGGCGCACCGCAGGTGTACCGCAAGTATAGTCGTTACCCTTTCTTTTTAAGGAGTAACTTGATGGATGAGACACTATTTTGAATGTGCTGTTTGGTAAAATGGAAATCGAACTACAGTTAATGGTCTGTGTTCGCCGGTCCAATGAAAGTGGGAAACATACGATGTCAGTGGATTCCTACTCCGCAGTATTGGCGACTCGAAACGAGTTCAATAGCACATTCAGTGAATTTCAGTCCATTGTATTTTGAATAGTGTGAAACGCATACCTTAACCCATTGTATCACTCGATGTACTGTACAACTCTCTCCACAATGCCTGACAGGCCCACTCGCCATACAGCTGAGTTTCTTTTTTTTCTTTCGTTTCTTTCCTTTTCTTTTCTTTTCTTTTCTTTTTTTTTTTTTTTTTTTTTTTTTTTTTTTTTTTTTTTTTTTTT